ATATATAATAAAGGCCTGTGTGGTGCAGTGGTTGGAGGCACCAAGCAACACACACGTGGAATCGATTCCCGCGCCCATGACCCACCAAAGCCTTCCATCACTCTGGGGTTGATAAATTTGTACTAAACTTGTCTGCGAAGATAGCAGCACTATCTCGATACATCGTTAGGCCACCTCGAGTCATTGTAAAGGGTAGATATGCATTCAATCACCTCCAAACGCTGCTTAATGAAGTCGAATGCATAGCGTATCTTTCAGGAATTGTTCAACGCCGAGAGCTTTTATAGACATGTATATATATATTCGATTAACGTTTTAATCTACTACGTATATGTATACGTATATATACGTATACATATGTATATATATATATGTGGTGGATTGGCAAACTATGATAAACAAATAAGCAACAAATGACCTGAAATTCCTGGTGACATGTGTTCAACAACAAGTTCGAAGAATTTCAGATTCTTCGGGTACTTTTTCATGATAGTGCACAGTGGTCAAGTTTTTGGTAACTTGCTCTCGTCTTATATCATGACAGCTGCAATGAAAGTACCGCAGCCCATTGACGAAGTGTATGAAACGTAAGGTCTTTTGATTTTGTGTATTTTTCGAAGAATATGTTGTTTTGATTGTTTAGACGACGTGGACTATTAAATTGATGAATGATCTTAAAGTTATTTGGTTTCATACTGTCATATTTAACCCGTCTACTACTAAGTGTTCTTGTGTTTTAGCAATGGTTCTACAAGTTTTTCTCATTCCATGGCTACTCAATGGGGTCCACTCGTTTTAAGAGCGTGTGAAGCTCTTTTTCGGCGAGATATTACCTTGCTATGCTATTAACATAGAATCTGGATACCTATGCGTAGCACGTATGGCACCCATGAGGACTAGTGGGGTCCAAATGCTTCAAGAAAAGCAAATCCGCCTCTTATACACTTTCTAGTCACTTAATAGCATGATTTTAAGTTGCTCAACATAGAGTGGACATGAAGGCAAGTCCACCTATACGTATTTATCAGTGAAGTAGAGAAAGGAAGTCCATATATTCAGACCAGCGCTGCCTCAGGGCAGGTAGACCGTCGCGTAGGAATGTTCGCAGCTATCGTATTAGTCTTTTCCAAGTACATTACGCAAGTAGTGCTGGAATACGCACAGTATATATGAAAAACGGGTAGTGTAAATAAACAAGCAAATAACCATGCAATCTCTTCATTTATTTATCTCCAAAATGAGAAAATATAGGTGCGGTCACTCGTTTCCATTGAATCTCTCAAAACTCTCTGAAATAGCCGCGCAGAACCTGGAACGGCCTCACCAACGAGTTTATCTCTCAGGTCAGATATATAAACATTTATAATGAATTGATTCCAGATTTTGATCTTTGATTCATATTAATGGGCTTGAGGGCGCGCGCATATAGCACATTGGTATTGACGTCGATCATAACGAGAACGGTGCTGGTTGGTTCGCGCACCGAACTCATCAAGCGTCTCCTTCCTGCGGGGTCTGAATGGTGGTGCGGCACTTTTCCGGGAAATAGTTGATGTCTGCAATCCTAGAGGAAACGCTATAGTCCGGCTTTCTCAGGGGTGCAGGGAGAATCGAACACAGCGCAGTTCGTACTTCAATACTCACAAAAGCACAGCAAACAGTGGAACTCCGGCACCTTCTGTTGTTAAGCTAGACGAATTTTAATTGAGTGTTGTGACAACCTGCTTGGATAATATTCGAACGATATTGCGCAAATTTATATTTCATGGACGGATGAAATCCGGTTACTCATCTTTGCATTCATTTAATGTTATAGCTGTTAATTAGGGATATTTTTAGTTTGCTTGGCCTATTTGGCGTGTGCGATCGTTGCTGTGATGATAGTTTCAATGTTTCTCAATGCGCTGCACAAGGATGTTGTCAACAGGTATGCCTAGTATTCATTGAAGCTCCTCAATTCTTAAAATCACCTTTAAACGATTATCTACTGGTAAGCTAATAAAGCCGTAATTGGTTTTCATTTACAAGTACGAAGATCGAAAGGCAACTAGTATGTAGAGCTCGAAAGCTTAAGCTCGATCCCGAGTTAGCGCAAGAAATAGTTAGGTCAAGGAAGCAAGGATGTACTGCCAACGAAACAAACCCAACCATAATCCGATAAAGATGCCTCAAAATTTAGAAAAAACACAAGGCAGGATTTGTACAATGTTTTGTTAACAAATTACCGGACATTTTTCTCCATGAAATCATGGTAGGAGGAAAACGAAGCACAAAGAACGTTTTCTGACTCTTTGAGAAGCCGTAGGAATGTTTTGTGGCGTCTTTCAGGTTCTTGATTCAGCAGCCACTATAGTTCTAAAATCGTTTTTTAATTTCCGAAAGAAACTCCAGCCTAGTACTTTACATAATTTTGCCAACAAGTATTGTGTAAGAGAAAGTTTTCAGAGGTAAAGCACCCATGTTCGATGCTCCGGTCTTGAAACAGACACTGAAGAACTGTCGAAATATGAAAATTATGTTGCTGGTACCTTTGACGGCCTTCAATGGTGTTGAGCGAGCATTTGTTATTGGAATTTTTACGAAGGTGAGACAATTATGCTTAAGTTTTTACTAGGAAAATTAGACATATTTCCTCAGCAATGGTTTTGGATCAATCGGTTTATTCAAATTTTCATCGGATTCATCGGATTATTTAAATCTTCGCTTGAAATTCCCTTGTCTTTTCCAGAGCGTTAGAAGGTGATAAGTGATCTTCCGTTGACTTCACTTTCAGAGTCTCGATGTGTGATCTTTCTTGCGACATATGTAGAATTATGTCAGGTCCTAATTCAGCATCCGTTACCCTTGCGAAAAACTGACGTATACACATTTCTTCTTAGTTAGGTATTTGGATACTTCAAAGATCCACCTATGCAGAAACACTGTGGCTAGTGCGAATTCCATGCCATGACATACAACATTTTAATACAGGTGGTTTATGTTATCGACGTAAGTGTCTCCCCATCTTGCAGTGGTCGACATGGTTGACCTACGCTTCGCAAGTTTGCTGCATCCGTAGTAGAAAGGCTGAGTAAAGAATGTAGCAGCTGAGTGTTAGGCTCGCTAGAGGAGCTTATAGCTTCTCTGAGAGACTCGAACGCGGCTGCTGCTTTCCTTGTTCTGAATAATTTTTCGCTTACATCGCTGTCAAGGCTCATTCAATAGCCTAAATAAACATCGTGGTTTTTTCACAGCAGAGAAAGAGCCAATTCGATAAATTCACCATCGCACTACGAACTTTCACAAAGTTGTTCGGTTTTCTTTCGATTTATGAGTCATCCAATCCTTTTCCGCTCTTCATTGAGCTTCTCGCGCCTTGTTTTTTCCTCACTAGTACTTCTCGATATGATAACATTGTCAACAGCAAAACGAATGTTTGGCAAAATGCGAGTGCCTATTTCGGGATAATCGAGCGACACCATTATCCACTCTGGCAACGCAGTACACAGATTTGGCGAGATGGTCTTCTCGGCTCCCTTTTCTTATGATAACGCTCATAGGTCAATGGGAGAAAGTGTTGGGTCTAATTATGGCAAAAATTAATCAGAGTTGTTATACAAGACCGGTCCTCTTCTCTACTATTTAATCAATAAGAGCTGATGGGAGAGAGAGAGGCAGAGTAGGGGGGCGGATAGCACCATTGGTTCTGTCGAACGCTTTTTCGTGTCCGAGAACGGTTACGATAGGCGGCGCAAAAGTTACTACTTGGTATTCATCCAGCATTCTCTATGTGAAGAGGCTTTTTATCGTCATAAAAAGAGCCTGCAGCGAATTCAGCGAAAAAGTTTCAATTCAAATTTAGCAAGAAAATTGTGAAATGCCAAAAATCACTTCGATCATCCTGTTTGGTTAGGAAAACTATTTGTGGTGTCCTCAGTGGTGCTCTCCTTTTTCACACGGCTATTTTTCCAGTCTCTTTGGGAATAGACGAGTAGTCTGTTTGTATGATGCGACTCTTGACCGTCTCCTTAATACATCCTGGTCCTTTTGTTGAAGGCTTTTAGCCGAAGTGTTTCATAGAATACAATCCATATAAAAGAGAATGCGTCCACATCACACACGTACATGCATGAATATGCCCTTGTAAACAAAGAAGGTATTTCCAAATCGGCGATAGAGAAACAGCAAGTCCATCTTCAGAATCCATTCGTATTCGAAGGGAAGCAAAGGTCGCTTTTAGTCCGCGATTAACACCTTATCCGCTATCTCGAGCGCGCCACGTTGCAGCGCAGTTTGAGATCCCACCATAGAGAAGATCCATTGCCTCAGACATCAGAGCGAATCATCAGTCCATGGCTGTTTTTTTCAGAAAAGATCTTACATAGTATGACGATTACAGAACAGAAAATGCTAGGGCAGATTCCCACTTAAAATCGGTTTCTAATAGTTAGTTAATTAGAACATGGAATCTGTCGAAGAAGCAGCAAGTCTGTTAGTTATTTGAACATGCAGCCACTCACTGTAAAACTCCACATAAAACCTCTAACAGCTGCCTCAAAGTGGCTTGCAAACTCGGGTAATCAAATATCTGTGTACATGTGACAGCATTGACAAGATATTGATAATAATAGTTTGCAGAATGTATATAAGAACGTGACAGAATCCTGACTACTACGTCGGTGATATAAGAAGATGATTAGCTGCAGATAAAAACAATCTAGTCTGTAGTAGAAAAGAGTGAAATGAGATGGAAGTGTTATGGCAACCTCGGAATATTCAACATGTAGCGATATCACATCTATTATATAGCGAGTTAAAGCTGATGTCACAGCAGTAGGTGTGACTATTTCTAGCGAATTTTTTGCACTTACGTTGCTGTAGTTGCAAAAACTTCACAAGCAATTTCTCAGTCAGATGCTTTGCAAAAACATGGCAAATTGTGTTAAAGAATTCTAACGATATGAAATTAGATTCATAAAACATAATGCAAAAATCTTATAATTTTTGCTGGTTTTTCATGAGCAGCAAGAAGAAAGAGACAGAATATTAAAAAAAACATAAGAGATCTTCTTCATCAAGAAATTCGTCAACATCATGACCATCGTCTTTTGCTCACCAAACAGAAAATTATTGATTAACGCTGATGCAATTTTTTTGCTGTAGCTTCAGCTTCTACTTGGGGATTTTCTCGCTTTCGTCGCCAATTCCGTTCATTATCGAGTAGATTCTCCTTGTAGTCGTGAGATAGCCGTACTGGTGTTTTCCACACCAATTACAGAGAGTGGGCGTATTCTAGACAAATCTGGTACCAATTTCCCCACCCCGGAAAGATTACAAACTTAAGGGACTCGGAGCAGAGTCGAATGGGCGCCTGCGTAAGTTGTGCAGGCCCAATCATGTAACGAGTGGGATCACAAACTCTGCTCTTCCTGATACCCATAATGTCATTTAATTTTTATTTGCTTTCGTTTTGTTTTATACGACCCGTCTTCACGTCTACTGTGCGGATCCCAGCACTTCCCACATTCGATTCGTTTCCTTACACCCACCCATTGTTCACGAAAATATTTTAGCTTTTTACGTGTGGCTTCGCTTGGCGCTTGTGGATTTCCACTTCATCTTGAATGCCGTTGAATGCTGGTCGAGCAAATCTCTCGCTGGAGCGCTTAAATAGCTGGACTCGAGAGTTCCTAACTGAATTGCAGAGAGTGATTTTTTCTCAGACAAATCCGGTACCAATTTCTCAACCCCGGAGGAATAAGAGACTTGGTCGGCCAAGAGCGGAATCGAACTAGTACCATGCTCGTGATGATGGACATCACTAGCACTGTGTTATCCTCTCCTTAATGTCATTTAATATCAATAAGAAATAGAGAATATTTACTAGGAATAGTTCCATATCACTGAGAAAGTCTCTGTTGCATCGTCGAACCAAAAATATTTGAAAGGGAACAATGCTTAGTAGACTTTCAGCTTTCTGTAATAGTGGGATAACTTGCGAGTACATCGCTTGTATTTGTACATCAAATAACTACCGTATCCAAAATAAAATGTGCTTATTGCAAATTCTGCTCAGTAATCGATATTGGTCGAGTATTAAATTTTGATTTGAGTCTGAGCCATAATAAATCTATTTCAGTAGAATGCGATAAAAGTGGGAAGCCGAAAACGTCTTGTAATATTGCTTAACTTTATCCCTGGAAATATCTGTTTTGTTCATATCACAGCCTGCCGTGAAAAATTATAGTAGGCAGCAAATAAAGGTTAACATAATCCCTACTGGATGCAAAGGAAAGGCAGTGTCAAGTTTCTAATATTTACTTCCGTGATACTGGATGTTAATGTTAACCCGATTTTTCCCAGAGAATTACAATTCAGTCGAAATAAAGAAAATGGATCAACAACCACTCCCCTCCCAAAATTATTATGTGATAATTTTTTTTTGCACAGTTCTATGCCTTTTAAACCCCTATTTATACAGGAAATCTTTTAATTAACTGCTTTCCACACCTTTCGGTTTCATAAAATGAAGAATTCTCCATATTCATCTTCTGTTGTGTACATCTTGCAGGCGTTTGTTGGGTGTGGCATCGGCGTTCCGCAGATCGGCTTTGTTTGCACTGCATTCGGAATTTCTGATGCCATTTGCAGTTTAGTGTTTGGTCCACTGATCAAATTATTCGGTCGAATGCCTTTATTTGTATTCGGAGCCGTTAACAATATGCTGATGATAGTCACACTTATGGTGAGTTTCGTCAGAAAGTACTTTTAGCTTTCAGTGTGTTTCAATGCGACGAAAGAAGTAGTATCAGCACATTACGCCCCGACGCTTAAATTCAAACAGACGATCGGGGTACGGCGCATAATTTCGTATCAGTAACGAGCTTAGTATAACTCGGCTGCGATTTTGAAAACATAATCGAGTTGTGTTTTATCCATCTAAAGGTAGATTGGTACTACATGTTACCACTGTCCACCGCTAGCCACGTTGTTATTTTCCTTTCGAAGTACTTTTCTACTCATCTTAAAGGTGTTTCGGTATTTCTAATGTTATCACCTTCCATGCGATAACCACGGCTAATCATAAGATTTGGAAACAAAAAAACAGAAAAATTTTGCTAAAGAATTAAAGGTGATTTTTTTCATATAACGCACTATGCCAATTTTCCAATAGTTTCCGAAAATTTTTAGTAAGCGGGGCGTTTTGGAAGCTAAAAAGTTGACATGCGTGTAAAAGAGGCTTTGCTTATTTATAAAGAATACAGTTACCTTCTAGCCCCACATTTTTATATAAAGTCAATTTTAAGTTCGAATTTTCAAGAAGAAGCTAGCATTACCTTGGCATAGAAAGGAAGGAATTTTCCTTGATAGCAAAGGTTATTGTGTTGTGTCATTTTTATTTCAAGCAGTCCTAATTGAGCTGGTGCGAATTTGGTATATGTTACCGTTGTCGTTGTTGCTGTTGTTGTTGTTAGATGGCTGATGTTTCAGCGGCTTCACCTTCTTCAGAACCGTGCTATTGCGTGCGGGACTTGTCACGCATTGTTCACGTGGGATAACAGGTCATCGAGTCAACAACACACGAGTGGTCCCACTCGTAAGCGAACTGCTTTGAAGAAAGGAAGCGCAAGGAAATCGCTCAAAAACTCCGCTTAAGCGAGCAAAATCGAAAAAAACAGGGACTTGCCGAGGCGGGACAGCAGTCGCGTCGCAGCCCACGGTTAGACGGCCAAGGACGAGAAGGAAGCACTCGCGTCGCCTTAAATCGCCCATAACTCCCCGGAAAACGCGAATTTAACCAAGCAAATGCAATGTTAAGTATTTCGGTGCAAAGCGGACGACCTACGGTAATGGACTAGTTACGGCAGCGGACGAGTTGCCGGAAAAACGCCGGAAAACGCGAATTTGAGCGCGCAACCGCCATATTTAGCATACGACAGCACTTGCGAACGACCTAGGACAAAACGTCAGTCATCGAACAATAACAACAGCAACAACAACAACAACAGCAACAACAACAACAGCAACAACAACAGCAACAGCAACAACAACAACAACAACAACAACAGCAACAACAACAACGCAACGTATACCAACCTCGCGCAACGCAATATGCGACCAAAGATAAAGGTTCTACAAAGTTAAAGCTTAAACCCAGCCTTTTAAGAAGAACTTCTGCAGAATATATAGATTTGGAGATGCCAGTTGATGTATCTTTGTATTATTTAGAGGTTGAGCAGCCTTCCGCTAGTATATTTCATATAAGAGGGTGGACTATTAAAATAGCGCTCATAAGCGGTTGTATACCGGTAGTGATTTGCCTATGACGGAAAATCTGGTGAACTATGGTTAAAAACAGCAACGGGCAAAACAAGTCTTCCGTCAGAGGCTAGAGAAAAGACTGAGTACCACAACAGCATCGCAGCGGTACAACGGTGTTGAAGTACGAAAATAAAAAAGATTATCATTATTATCTACGCAGTTCAAGAAGCGCCTCATTTCACGATTTCATAGAAATCGTGGCTCATCGAAAATTTCAACCAGGAAAAGGTCTTTGTGGACACAGGTGCTGGAATTCTTGGATATTTGGATATTTGGACGGCCCATTCTCACTAGTCGAGCGAGCACCAGCACTATTTCCATTTTTTTAGAGTTTTCCTGACTTAGCTACTGTCTTTCCCTGGCGTCCCGAGGTCAGCCTAATCAAAGTGTGCCTCAGGCCTTCACCACCACACGCAGTCGCAGCCCATGTGGATCAGAGCGAGATTTGCCACAATGCGACAAGTTTTAAACATGACGGTGGTGGATCCTAGTATTGGTTTACTTCTAGCTGGGCAGAGAAAAAAGGGGTGAATCCCACCATCGCAGTCTGGCACACAGAAACATTTCCCATCCTTGATGAAGCGCTCAGCCGTTGGAAGGTTCTGGAATTCTATAATGTACAAGTTCAGGCATCCTGGCTGAATGACTTCAAGATGAACATCTTCATGCGTTGCGGTGGTAATGATTTTAGATCATTTCTTATCTTTTTGAAGAAAGAGCAACCAGCGTGTTTTGGATATTGAAGAGCATATACATTTAAGATCCTAGAAGGCGATTGCATTTACATCAGGCTTTTAAACGTTCTAAACATTGTGGTTGTATTTCGCTTAGTAACCTGCCATGAAAATTATAGAAGGCAGAAAACAAAACGTTAAAACATTGTGATTTCAACTACAGCCATAGCTTAACTGGGTTCTATGCCGATTTGCGCTCCCCAGATCAACCCCGCTGACGGGTGATTGCTGTGGCAAAAAAGATCGATAGAAATAGCTGAGAGACGTGCGAAACAAAGGACCCGCATGGTGTGGTGGTGAACGCGTTACTCCCCGGAAAGGATAATAGCGCGTTCGTTCCCCACCATAGACACCTGCGGTCCAGAGTTTTGCAAATATCTCAGCAACATTGTGGTTGTATTTCGCTTAGTAACCTGCCATGAAAATTATAGAAGGCAGAAAACAAAACGTTAAAACGTTCTAAACAGACTAATATTAGCAGTTGGAGCAGGCATTATTACTCAGGCTATGTGGAAACTGTAGATTGTAGGCGAGAGTTGCAACATTGATTTAGATGTTTTTAGTTGTGTATAACGTTTATACTGAATGTATGCCTAATTTGTGGGTAAATTTTGATGCAAATATACTTGAGCAGAACACTTGAAACATTATTAGGAAGCTTGAGTCACTCTAAAGCCCATCTTTCATCATCTCATGTTAGCTAAAAATTCTAAGTGTTGTGGACCTTCGTGTTGAAGCACTGCATAGAAGACATCTATGCACGTCTTCTCCGAAAGAGACAACTGTAGCGTGAACTATTCTCATCAGTGCCAGCCTAAATTCAACCGAAAGAAGAGTTTTATGTAAACTATTGATTGATATGAATAGGTTTTTACTGATCCTCGCTGAAGAATCGGTGTTAGACTATCTTCCGTTATAGAGCAAAGTATACCATTGAAATAGATGCAATGGAGGCGTTGCAACCGTTTACCTTGCTTTCTCCCATCTTCTCATATATGCAAAGCACACAACTACTTTGAAGCGTTGTCCATTGGAGAACTACTGAGAGCGGCTGATGCTTTCCGGAACTCCCGACGGCATGTAGCAAAATGCTTGTTTAAACGCAAATTTCATATCAGTGCAAATATCCTCTTGTAAGCTTATCAACGAACGAATAGGTATCCGCTTGTAAAGTTTTTCACAAACAATTTATTACATATAGTTGAGAAAGGAGGTTCGGAAAAAGTCAATTCACTGAAATTCATTTATATTTTAAAACCTTGTAGATCGATTAGCGAATAAACTTGACTTAACCTATAGCACATTATCACTGAAGTTCAAGCTTTTTAGATCTGGCCACTGAATCCAGCAGATAAAGCTGTTCTCTACGTAGCCGCAACCGTGTGGGGAATGGCAGACGGTGTATGGAACACCCAAATAAACGGTGAGAAGTCGTAGATATCTACTAAATCATTGAGTTATCATGTAGTGTATCAACATTCTATCGGTCTCTATGCCGAACGGAATTGTTAGCCAAGATGCTGAACATCCAAAAGCGCAATCACAGAGAGGTATCCAAACATCGTTTAGAACGAATGAGAGTATTTTTTTCGCAGCATTTCGTCAATTTTTGTGTATCGTCTCATTTTTCACTTTTGCAGGATTTTGGGTGGCATTAGTTGGACGACAGTCGCTCGAATTAGCATTCTCCACCTATCGTTTCTGGGAGTCCATTGGCTTGGCAGCTGGCTTTGTGATGGCTCGCCTGATGCCTGTCGAACTGGTGCTTCTCGTCTCATTCTGCTTGTTGCTACTTGGCATGATTGGTTATTGTGCTATTGAACTTTACGACGAAATTTCAGTACGTTCTTTCTCGCTCGAATTTCTTTCCATGAAAAAAAAAGAGGAGTCAAATAATATTCGGCGACATTTTTCTCTCTTCGGAAAAGAGATAATCAGTTTCTCATTTGGAGTTTGCTTAACAAATTACGCCAAAGATACAACCTTTTCAACGCTTGTGAGGTGAAAATAAAACAGTAGTTGCTTCCTAATACTTTAGAATTTCCACGTATCTTACGGCATATATCGGGTTTCAATTCCAGAAATGGAGCAGATAGGACGGTGGTAGTGATGTCCATCATCACGAGCATGGTGCTAGTCCAATTCCGCTCCGGGCCAACCAAGCCTGCGATCCTCCGGGGTTGGGAAATTGGTATTCTTGCATTGGAAAAAGTATTCTCTGCAATCCAATTAGAAACGCTTCAGTCCTACTATCTCAGGTCTCCAGGAAGAATGCTCGACCAGCATTCAGCGACAATCAAGACGAAATGGAGAATCCTCGAGTAGCAACCGAATTCACCCGTAAAAAGTTATAAGACCTTCGTTGACAATGGATACGGTGAAACGAATTGAATGTAAGAAGTGCTCCGCACAGTGGACGTGAAGACGAATCAAATAAAAAAAAGTGTGCGAAATAAAAACCTCCTACGAGGTGCAAGCTTGATTCTACCAAGATTCTCGTCCCATTGTTCCTCATAGAGCTCGCGACGTATATTTTTCCCACTTTTTTGCTTCAAGCACATATTTCGGGCGATAGAAGTAACTTAACGATTTAATGAACTGCGATTTTGTCTGGAAGGACATGATATGTTCTCCAGTGTATCATCGCTGGTGTTTGTGGCTGCCGCTTTCATGTTGAAACGTTGAAAAAAAGACTTTAATTTCACATTTCAATTTCACAATTTCACATATTCCTAAAATTACCTTGGCAACGGGCTTCCAAGTCTTTACCAAATGCAGTCACCAGCGCTCGTGGATTTGAGGCAAATTCGCAGATAAATCTGATAGGAATTTCTTGACTCGTAATGATGGGAAGCTTGGCAGGCTCGGTACGGCGTCTAATTGGGTGCATCGAACTACATCTCTACCAATGCGCTCTTGCTACCTGTCTCTTTTCACAATGTAAAGCCGTCAACTCATCAACTCCAGGCTAAATACAAGGCAATATTTTAAGCTAGAAAGAAGTTATACAACAGGTTATTCCACAAGTGTTCCCTTATTTGATTCTTGTTCTACGTTATGAGTGACACTTACTTACATGGATGGCCCGTCTTCAATGGCAGCTTAGGTCCCAACGGAATTTTTGTTAGTTCCTCTCTGGTGCCAGCGTCGCCTATAGTTGTGGTCTGCGTCGATCATGGTGACCTTCGCTTGCTCCATTCACTGGTCCTAAAATCGTTCTCATATGCAAGCCCAGATTTTTGATATTAGCCAAGAATACGCCCACACATCGTTGGCGTGGTTTTCAGAGGTGTCGTTAGCTGTGCATGATGTGAAAGATTTTGAATATCTGATCTGCGCAGCCCAGTAAGAGGTTCTGAGCGTCGGTTATGCCTCAGAAGATATCTTTCAAGCGTTCTGTGGGTGGTGCTCAGTTTTTGCGACGTGGCTGAAGCATCATACCCCATCTCGGCTGCCTAGTAAGGCGTTGGAAAGGCTGTTGAATCGAAAAGGTGAGCGCCAAGTTTTGGATCTGTTATTTGGTCAGTACCTTGTTTCTGAGGCCTAAATGCGGCCCATGCTGCTTTTACACGTATGAGGTGGTCTCTAAAATCGGAAAACCATCTAGTTCGACCACAAGATTGCTGAGATATTTGCAAAACTCCGGACCGCAGGTGTCTGCGGTGGGAAACGAAGGCGCTATTGTCCTTTCCAGGGAGTAACGCGTTCACCACCACACGATGCGGGTTCTTCGTTTCGCCTGTCTCTCAACTAGTTCTATCGATCGGTACCATCAGCAATCCACCGTCAGCGGGATTGATCTGGGAAGCCCAAATCAACAATGAATCCAGTTAAGCTTAGGCTGTAGTTGAAATCACACGCGTCGTTTTCTTGTTCAGCAATCGCGAGGTTTTTAAACAGCATACATTTACGTCCATAGAAAAACAATACAATACAACGCTAGCTGACGTTTCGGCAGTATCGTCTTCTTCAGAGCCTGGAAGGGCGTATTGATATACAAAATATACAATATACACATACATATACTGAGATACAGTATACAAAATATCAGTATACCCTTCCAGGCCGTGAAGAAGACGATGCTGCCGAAACGTCAGCTAGTGTTGTATTGTATTGTGTCCTTCTATGGAAGTAAATGTATGCTGTTTAAAAACTTCGCCATTGCTGAACAAGAAAACGACGCATTCATATTCCAATGCCGAGGTTAATAGAAAGTCCATCCTGGGAGCTGTTGAAATCACAATTTTAACTTATTATTTCCTGCCAACTCTTTTTAATAAGAGCTCATGTGGCGAAGCGGATGGAGGCGCCACTGCGACACACACATGAATCGATCGGCGCGTCCGTGGCCCTCCAAGCCTTTCATCACTCCGGGGTCAGCAAAATGGTGCTAGCGTTATCCGAGAAGATAGCAGCACTGACTCGATACATCACATAGAGCTTCTATGTTCGCTTCAACTTCGCTTAAAACCCTACCATAAAAATAATAGAAGGCAGACAATAAAAAGTAAACTCGAAAGACCGACTTTCTATAAACCTCGGCATAGATAGTTGATATATTTATTTATGTGATCTTATAAACTGATCTTCTTAAGCTGACGCGAGGTTGGTACAGTTCTTCGTTGTCGTTGTCGTTGTTTTTGATGTTATTGATCGATGGCTGACGTTTCGGCGACTTCGCCTTCCTCAGAGCCTGGACGTACTTTATGTTGGAATACTTCTTATTATTCGGTGGAAAAGAAGGTTAAAGTATTAATGAAGATCAAACTTTCAAAAAGACACCATATTGAACAGAAGGGCCACTCACCGTGATGTTACGTGCGGGACTGGCCCACACGTAGTTCACGTGGAGTCGCGAGCAAGACACTTTCATGTCTAAGGTGGAAGCTCCAGTTCTCGATCACCGACCCTTACTCTACTGTCGATACATAGACGACTGCTTCATCGTCTGTTCCACACAAGAACAAATGGATGAGTGCTTTGAATTATTAAACCTACAGTCAGAGTATATAAAATTTACACGAGAAAAACCTACCGAAAACTGGCTTCCATTCTTAAACATCCAAATAAAGCTCTCAGTAAGTGGCTATGTAACAAAATGGTATCGCAAGCGAAGTAGTAAAAACATTCTAGTTCACTGCCTTTAGACGAAAGTAGGATCCCCTTCAAGCTGCCCTTCATATCAAATGAAGTAAGTCACGTCATTAAAAAGTGCTTAAGAAAAAGTGGTCTTGAAAATTATGTAACGATTATTGACATCCCACCCAATACCCTACGCCGCCAGTTAGTTCGAAACCGTCTCTATGATCGCTTGTGCAGCTGAGAAAACTGTATGATCTGTCCTAACGAGAGAGACGGGGATTGCACGAGTTTAGGTATAATACACTTGATCTCATGTAATGCATGCGGCGAGGAGTATATCGGGAAAACGGGTAGACCACTTTGTGTCCGCATAAAAGAACATCTGGATGGAAAAGCTAAAATTCGTTTAAACACCCCTCGAGGTACGCATAGGGCACAAAAGCACAACGGCGATGATTTTGAAGTGAATGTGCGGATCCTAGCGCAGGAATCAAAAACATCAACGCGCAAAACTCTTGAGGCGTTTTGGATAAATTTCAAAAATCCAAAGATGAACCGGAAGGACGAATGCCTCACGATCACGCGTGACCTGGCGCCCTATTTCAAAATGATATTTTGACCCCCGGGGCATGTCTTGCTCGCGACTCCACGTGAATTACGTGTAGGCTAGTGCCGCACGTAACATCACGGTGAGTGGCCTTTCTGTTCAATATGGCGTCTATTTGAAAGTTTGATCTTCATTAATGCTTTAACCTTCTTTTCCACCGAATAATAAAAGTATTCTAACATAAAGTACGTCCAGGCTCTGAGGAAGGCGAAGTCGCCGAAAGGTCAACCATCAATCAATAACATCAAAAACAACGACAACGACAACGAATGTCTGTACCAACCTCGCGTCAGCTGAAGAAGATCAGTTTATAAGATCACATAAACAAATATAAAAAGTAAACATTGTGAATTCAACTACAGCCTCTGCTTAACTGGGTTCAATGCCGATGTGGGCTCCCCAGATCAATCCCGTTGACTGGTGATTGCTGATGGCAGTGAGCGATAGAGCTGGCTGAGAGACAGGCGAAACGAAGGACCCGCATGCTGTGGCCGGGAGCGCGTTAGCCACCGGAAAGGACAACATCGCGTTCGTTCTCCACGCAGACACCTGCAGTCCGGAGTTTTGCAAATATCTCAGCGATCAGGTTGTATTTCGTTTAATACCCTGCCATAAAAGTAATAGAAGGCAGAAAATAAAAGTAAACATCTAGTTCGATTCGCTCACCTAATTCATATGGGTTCTTCATGAACTAGTTCTTTGTCCTAATTATTTATTTGTGCACAATGCAATTACTTTTTCATGGTCGCTGAGTTTATTTAGCATCGTCTCGGCTTCGTTGGTATTTCTTAGAAAGATGACAATGTTAAAGACCAGTGATTTAATACGAATTTTTCATCAGTACATATCACTTTCTCTTCCCAATCAACTGACTTACTATCCACTGCAGTGCTTCAGTAAATAGCTTCGGAAATGCGGTTTCCCCTTGACGTACTCCTTTTCCTATGGACATGTTTAGAGGTCGATAGAAAAGCCATATTCTTGTGCTATAGTTATGAGAACACTCACATAGTGCTTCTATGTAGGACGGGTCTATTAATTGGTCGACGAGTGCTGGTAGAATTGATTTCATTTCGACGCTATCAGATGTTTTCCCGTAGTCGATAAAGGTTAGGGTAAGAGGCAGATTTTACTCCCTTCAATGACCTGTGATACGAATAGAATGTGGTTAACGCAGCAGATTTTCTGTAGAAATCCTGCTGTCCCAACTCGTTGTGCCTCATCGAGGTCTCCCATATACGTAAAGAATAACCACCGTAAACAACTTGTATATTTAGCAAGCATATTGAACCATAATTGCAAAGATCCCTCCTATC